AATAATAATAATAATAATAATTAATCAGATTTTTGGGCAGAGGGATCCGACCACCCTTCTTTCCCAAGGAATGCTAAACAAGAATTCCAATGCATGCTACAACATGCTTACTGCCACACTCCTAAGGCTTTTCCTTGGGCTTGTTGTGTATGTTGTGTACAGGATGGGCATGCTCCTCTTTAACAGCACACAACCTCATTAGGGGGAACAAGCATGCCTTAGGATAGAAATTCAAGCCAATAGGAAATTCTGGTAAAGAGAAAATAAAGTAAAATAATAGAATAAACAAATACAATTCAAACACCAATTTCCCTTTCACAATGTCTACATAAGAACTCCATTTTCAGCCACATTTAGAAGGTACACAGCTGAGTAAGGGAAGAAGAGAAAGAGTAGAAAAGAAAAGAAAAGAAAAAGAGAGGAAGAGGAGGGTACTTGGTGATCACCATTTCAAAACTAGCTTTGAGAATTGTTTATAAAAGCTCTTGAGGTAAAAAAAAAATACTCAACCCCTATCCTTCCTTAGATGTTTTTCCTAACTAAATCTATACATTAAAAATATGCAAGAGTGTGTATTGATAATACACAAATGCTCAATGCATGTTACATTGGATAGAATAATAATCTTATGATTATGTGATTTCTGTCCTTCTTGCAAGTATGGATTGGATGGTTTAGTTACTGATTTTGCTCATTATGTGTTCAAGTATTCTTCATTGTTGAATCAGTCTTGCATGCTTATGAATTTATGTTTACTCTTTATAAATATTATTTTCTGTCATCACTAATGAAAGTAAATATGAAAGATTAGAGTTTTACATGGGAATAATAGTAAGAAACATTTTTTTAGTCTTGCATGTGATTCATGGTGGATACAAAGTGTGTTTTTCGCAAACTAACGAACTTCCAGCAAAACAGATTTTTAATCCGTTTTGAATAAATCTTAAACAAACTCACGAGAACACTTTCATAAAATCTGAAACTATTGGAGTTAGTTTAACATGTTTTCATGGTGCTAGAATATTGAAGAAAATTTTTTGACAACATTTCATGGCCTGAATATATTTTTAACTTCATTGTTGTTTGGAGGCAACAATAATGCTGATTTTACCAGGTCACCGTTTATTCCACAGAATAAATTTTCAAGTGATTCAAATCGAAAAAGTTATATTTTTAAGTTACCTTTCAAATGCCGCTGGTTTCATAATTTTTTATTAAGCATTGAGAAAGAAATGCCAATTTTTCCAACATGTGATAGATTCTGTCCAATTTTCTTATAAAAATTATTTGATCATCATCTACTGGTTTTCAGTCTTTGAACTCTTCTAGAAATATGTTATAAACTCAAATATTTAGCAAGTCGTTCTGACCATGCCTCTTTTCGACACCTTTTGAGGCCCCTTTTTATTTTTTAAACCCGGGCCATTTGTGCTGGAGGCTAATGTAACCCATTGTCCCAGAAAACCAGTTTTCTTCCAAAATTTATTTCTCTATTTTAAAATCGTTTTTAGCCCTAGTATTCTTCTAAAAATATTTTCCTAACTCGATGAACTAGCACCAGTTAAAATATTATAATGGTTGAACTTCATTTGGTATGGGTTTCATATTTTTTTTTTAATGACCATACAGTGCTGAAAGAAGAAATGTGTGAATTCTTAAGAAATTTTGTAATGATTCCTAAGACATTCTATCACATTTATTTTGGTTGCCATATATGATTGTGTTGTGCTATATAAACATTATGTCACTGTGGTTCTCAAACTAAAACTCGCACATGCATAAAAATGTGAATTCGACGAAGTAAGGAAATATGAAATTGAACCGATTATACATTAAAAATTTAAAAGTGATGGGGTAAGCCTGATTTAGAGGGTTGTGCCAGTGAGTTACGAACCCTAACATGGCACGGGAAAGTATTTCGACTCTTATTGGTGTAGGCGATATAAGGTTGGTGGTGCGGGTGTCACAACATAGACCATTCCCTTGGGGCAGACCGTGATGTCATGACTCGGGTACGTAACCCTAGTACGTGGGCATCATTGGTAGTTACAGCAAGTAACATTTGAATAATTGACCAAGGGGGAGTCGGAATTGCCCGTGGCTATTGCTTAGCGGTTGAGTGGAAATAGTGCTCCGCGGAGAGTTACTTAAATTTATCTGATAAACTAAATCTATGAAAATTTAAAAAGAAAAGTATGAATTTTCCTTATGATGAATTATTGTTTCCGTTTACCATTATTTATTTATTTATTTATCTATTGTTATTATTTTAATTGTTATTCCTGTTATGCTTATTAAATGCTACCTATTATTCTGTTACAACGCATTATTCATTAATTGTGAGTAATATTATCGGGGTGGGTATTTTCAAGTTGTAGTATATTATTCAGCTCGTCGCTCATTGGCATTCTCGTTGCCCTGGCGTTTTATGTCAGGTACCGAAGAGAATGAAGGAAACGCCGAGGCCTTGCAAGGTGACATTCAACCTTGGTCAGCTTGAAGAGTCCCCAAGTTCCACGAACTATTTTCTAAGTTTCCTAGTTTTCCCTAGTTTTCTTTCATATTTGTTTTATTTTATTTTTTTGTATTGAGACTAAGTTTTAAGTTTTATTAGAATTGTAATTTGAAAACTTTCAATTTCTGGGTTGTTAATTAATGGATGTTAGTGATATTAGTGGCAACATTGATTTTAAGTTCTAAATCTTATTATGATGTCCTAAAAAAAATTTGGGGCGTCATAATTTAACTGTCATGGTAGTCCTCCAAGACAAGGGATATTTTTGCGCGGTTATATAATGTTGATGTGTGTGTTTTTTTTTTTTTTTTGTGAGCTGACCGTAATGTATGTTGTGTATGTCTGTGAACGGATGTTGGTATCCGGTGCTGCGTCCATTAATTGTTAGTAATCCGTAACTGTCCGCAACGGCCACACCGAATTTGTTGCACTTTTTCACCTTTCGATAGTATCCTCTTCTTCTTTGGTCTACCAACTAGACATCGCACAACCGGAGGTAGAATACCATAATGTTTGAGATTGTCCTGTGGTTTATCAACTGTTGGTATTGGATATATGGCTTGGGAGTATGCTGATTGGTAGTTGGTTACGTGGAAATAAGGTTCAACCAACACATTCAAATCCCTCCCATTATTGCAGATAGCGACCATTGCATGTTTGCACGGGATCCCGTTGATCTGCCACTGGAAACATGAACATGTACGCCTACGAATGTCTTCTAAAACAGATGGGTGTGAGTAGACCTCGTATACGTCATTGTTAGACTGACTGACAGTCCATGATCTTCCCTTCTGGTACGCCATTTCTAGTTTGTACTCTATCTTCGGACATCTTATACCAGCCTAGGAACTTGGCGCTCTCCTCCGATCGGACATCTGATTCATAATCTGTGTCCTAATTGCGTCAACCATTTGGGTAATTGCTAAATGGCGTGCTTCCTTTATCCAGTTGTTAAATGATTCAACAGCGTTGGAACACATCTCACCGTAACGGTTGCCTCTAAAAAATGTGCGATTTTGATATGTAATGTGTAAGGTAAAATCGGGGAAAATAAGTCATGAACATGGTGTAAGAATAAGTTTAATGTAATTGTTTATGTGTTCCATTACCTGAAATACGTGTTGGCCCAGTGATGCGGCTGTAGATCTTGTAAGAAATTGACAGCAATATGCCTTTCGGCCTGTATGAACGCTTGGATTTTTTCGTTGAAGTCAACTACAATAGGTGTATAGGCACATTCCCGCAATTTACTTACCAGTCCAATACGATATAATTTGTTGACATATTTTATCTTGTCCTTCAAATTCCTCTGTAAATGTTGCATACAAAAAGCATGGTGGGAAAACGGGAAAACGGTAGGCAACGATTCGATAATACCGACATGACAATCCGAAACAATGTCAGATTCCGGTCCCCAACAACTACGTTAGCCAAATTTTTTAAGAACCATGCCCAATTTGCTGCATTTTTGGAATCAATAATTGCAAAAGCCACCAGGAACAAACCTGGAAAAATTTAAAAAAAATTTAAAAAAATAACACAAAAGTGCTGAAACCATAGTGTATACCACGCTGGGTGTAACATTACATTGTGAGTAAAATCAATCACATATTTTGGCGACCCCTCAGAATCATGACAAGCACAACAATTACGGAAAACATTACCTTGGTTGCCATCTTTTGCGGTCGCCGCAAGCAGGTTACCTTTAAAACTGCCTTTGAGAAACGTACCATCGAGAAACAATAGCGGGCACCGGTGGTTAAACCCATCTATGCATGCTTTGAATGATATGAACAGCCTATTAAAATGACGTGTGTTGTGTTCATCGAAGTCAAGATTAATATAACTTCCAGGGTTATATTCCATAATTGTGTTGTTGTACTAACGCAATTGGTCGAATGACACGAAATGATCACCATATAGTTCTCCTCCTCTGGCCTTTTCAACACCCAACCAAGCTACTCGATAACTAATATGCAGACCGTATGCTTTTTTGAAATCGTACTTGACATCGGTAGGCCGAGTCAATGACTTGTCATGCACACGTTCTGCAATAACATCTACAACAAGCTCAGACCCCATCCTCGGGTTTCTGTCAGTACACACAGCGACTCCGCACGTGTGGTCAAGGTTCCACTTCTTCAAATAAAAATACCCATTAGCATTCAACACCCTCGCATGAATGGACCACAAATACCCCATTGACTCGCCAAACATGCATTCAGCCGTAATACGAACTGAGTCGTTCTTTCTGAACCTAAACTGAAACCCATATTCAATTGCGTATTTGCTGAGAACATTGCGAAATTCTACTGCCCCTCCCTTGAAACATTGGTCGATATTAGTTATGCCATCTGCCCAATCTGCTGACAACAACACCTTCCCGGTGTGTTGGCAAAAATTAGGCAACAAATCAGCATCCTCGTACATATTTGTGACCATTTCCAAGCCATCACAAACTGTGCCATCGTGCCCATGAGCCAGACTACCACCACGTTTGACACCCCATGCTTAACCGCAGTTTACTACATCGACATCAATATGCTCTAGCCGAAATGACTTGGCAAGACATAACATGTTTTCAAAGTCTGATTCATTTTCCATTTTGAAATTATCGTATCCTGGAATCTTAAATGACATGAAAACCGAATTAGGCATCAATTCGATGAAGCAGTCACACACGTGAGCGGTAAATCTACTAAATGTAAAATCAAAACGAACCATAAGAACAACGTTCTTATTCTCGTATGAACACAACAACATTATATTGTCACCCATTCCTACACGAAAACCAGAAAATATGTAAAATGCATATGAAACTCATGTTCATCAAGTCTGCAATATATGTATACTATTATTACACATTATTTCGAAACGTAACGAACAAAATCGGTGATGAGGATGATGTAGACGTCGCAACATGACAACCACAACCCCCACATCAGCCTTCGACCCCTCAACACAATCAAAAACAAAACAAATAAACAACAAATACATTACCGTCGACAAACTCGAAGAATGATGCACCACGAAAAATGCAACACAACAAACACCTCACCTACAAAACTTAACCACGTCTTTGAACAACTTGCCGTCCCCCCCTTCTCCCATGCAGAATTCAAGTATTGATGAACCTTGCCATCCCTATAAATATAGCAACATATGATATTCCATATCGTCCGCAACGAAACCAACATAATAAACGGGGTTATTATCAAACCCTCCCAAAAACGTTTCCAATCACCAAATACAAAGGGCACAAATGTCATAAACACCAAACCCACAAAAGCAACATGGGATCTTACGGAACACAAATCTACAAAGAAAGGACTCTAACGTGTGTTATTTTAAGAGTAGAACTCTCCCAAATGGGATTTACCAATAATTTTCCCTTAAATTCCAATAGAAGTATATATAAAATGTCTAAAATATCTTTTTTTCATTGTTTAATGACTAAAATACATTTTTCTATCAATTTTACCTAATGAAAATAGGCAGGTGGTTTAGATTGAAAATAAACTAAAAAATTAGGGTTAAAATTGACGAAATTAAAAATTCAATGTTTATTTTGTTATAATGGTCAAATTTTAGATTTTTTTTTTTGTAATTTTCTCAAAAATATGTAAAAAAAATTAAAGAAATACAAAAAATAAGAAAATGTACTCTTTTTTTTGTATTTTTGACAAATATTTTACTTTTTTAAATGTATTTAGATCAAGTATATTTAAAAAAAAATAAAAATACTAAATTTTTTATTTTTTGAAACTCAAAACATATGTACAGTGAGTGAACTTGAGGTTTGGATTTGGGTTTGTGTTTTTTTTTTTCCTCTCTCTCATAAAGTTGTAATCTCCACTATTTTATAGTGAAAAATCTTTTGTATTGTGTATGTAGGTATATTTGTGCCAATGGTACAGGATTCGATTTATTATATTCTTATTAATTGACTTTTTCTTTACATTTTTACTCATCTTGACTGACTCCTGCAATAAGTCAAACCTTCTTTTGAAATATAGATACAATATGTATTTTTTTTTAAGGGTAAATTATACATTTCACTTTCCAATTTTTATTCAAATTTTACTTTCATATATTATCTTTTAATTATAATAATTAAGTTTTCGTAATTTAATGTGTTCTTCAATGTATTTCTCACATCGCCCAGTCGTTTTAATTTGAGTGAAAAGTTTTCATACCAATGTATCCCTCCGGTACTTGTAAAATGTGCTAAAATGAGGTTTTTTTCCATATAAATTTTAACGATAAATAATGGGAGTATCACTTTGTAATTTTCTCAAAAATATGTAAAAAAAATTAAAGAAATACAAAAAATAAGAAAATGTACTCTTTTTTTTGTATTTTTGACAAATATTTTACTTTTTTAAATGTATTTAGATTAAGTATATTTAAAAAAAATTAAAAATACTAAATTTTTTATTTTTTGAAACTCAAAACATATGTACAGTGAGTGAACTTGAGGTTTGGATTTGGGTTTGTGTTTTTTTTTTCCTCTCTCATAAAGTTGTAATCTCCACTATTTTATAGTGAAATCTCTTTTGTATTGTATATGTAAGTATATTTGTGCCAATGGTACAGGATTCGATTTATTATATTCTTATTAATTGACTTTTTCTTTACATTTTTACTCATCTTGACAGACTCCTGCAACAAGTCAAACCTTCTTTTGAAGTATAGATACAATATGTATTTTTTTTTTAAGGGTAAATTACACATTTCACTTTCGAATTTTTACTCAAATTTTACTTTCATATATTATCTTTTAATTATAATAATTAAGTTTTCATAATTTAATGTGTTCTTCAATGTATTTCTCACATCGCCCTATCGTTTTAATTTGAGTGAAAAGTTTTCATACCAATGTATCCCTCCGATACTTGTAAAATGTGCCAAAATGAGGTTTTTTTCCATATAAATTTTAACGATAAATAATGGGAGTACCACATTAAAATATTTGTTAAAGTACGAACGCTATTTTTTTATTTTTTTTTAATTAGCAAAGAAGTAATATTTTATTAGATAAATAAAACATTACAAGAAAGAAAGGGAAAGAAGAAAAAGTATCAATTTGGAAAAGCCAAATAACTTAAATCCAATTCGATACAATACTTGGTTGGCAAGAAGCCAACGAACATAAACACAACACCCAAAATAAAGCTTAAACTCGTACTACACCCAACACACGTGTGGTTTATTTCAACCAAAAATTGTTTAAGCTCTCCAAAGTACTTTCACTTTGAGAGCATTGATCTTTCATTTTGAATTGTTTCTTCAAGCTTTCATTTTTTGTTGTTGTAATTTCCCCACTTATTACTCCTCGGTACACCTTCATCTCTACAACTGGTAACCCAAGCTTGGAAATTTCACCCTTTTGCAAAACATCTTTTCGGATTTTACTTTGCTCTCGACAACTTGACGAAATAGAAATATTGAATTTTGCAAACCCATCCAATTCTTCCTTCCTACATGAATTGAACTTTGCAAACCCACCTAACTCTTTTTTCGTACATGTGTTATCCCCCAAATCTTTTATCCAAGATGAATCTCTGCAAACACCACCTACCTTGTTTTCAACCTCACTATTAGAGTAACTCTCTGAAAATTTAGCCAGCACCTCATATCGATTATGCAAATCTAAAATTTTGGGTTTCTCCTCCTATTTGAAAGATCTAATATGTGATGGGTCTTCTTTAAAAAATGAATTTATGTCCTTCGATTTTACCACTTTATTTGTAAAAGGACTAATATTAGAGGAAAAAGCTGACCGTGATTGAATGGGTTTTTTCAGTTTACACACCCAAAACTTGGATTCTTGTTCTTGGTTGTTCCAAAAGTTTGGTCTAAACTTAACCCCCCTACTCCCCTATTATAAGGCCACCTATTCTTGACACTCACCATTTCAAATTCAAGGTTCCATTTGGTAGAGTTTTGTAAATATGATTTAAGAATATGAGTTGTATTATGAGTTTGTGAGTTTTGAAATTATGACTTAAGCATAGAAAAATTGTTTGGTGAATAAATTTTGAAAAGAGTTTTTGAATTGAGTGATGTGACATAATTTTTATACAAAAACTTGCAACTCATAACCAAACACAATCCAAAATTCTATTCAAAACTCATAAAAAATTGGGGACGTCCGAGGGGACATTCGGGTACACAAATTTTCAAACGCAAGTGTAGAAATGTGTTTTGAAAACCGTAAACAAACGCCGCACTCGATGCTAAATGTGGAAATGTGTTTTGAAAGCTGTACCAAACACGGCCCAAATTTCTTACCTTGGGTAAAATTGGTGCCGCATTTCTGACACAACTGTCGCATATGTTTTGCTTACAAAACCCATCCATCATCGAACATGTCCGACGCACTTCAACCCAGACTCGACTGTTGACGATCCATTACCAACCTTGCCGTCATACACCCTTCCATTCTTAACCTCCATCAAAACACTCTCCACCGCCGTCCGCCGTCGATGATTTCGATCACGCTCCAACCCAAACTTGTTTGTTGAAAATCCGTCACCAACCTTGATGCAACCTTTCCTTCCTTTTCCATCATACCCCTCTAGATCTTCAACCACCCTCTTATTTTTGTCCTCAATCGATACACTCTCCACCGCCTCCTTCATCTCCACTGAGGTCACCATCGAAATTGATCCTCCATCCCAAGTTTGATTATCATTCGCTTTCAATTTTTGCTTGAGATCCGAAATTTCTTTTAAGAGAACCCCTCGCTCGAACCACCACCATGTCTCTTGCCTAAGCCATCTTTGCTACTAGGGGTGTGCGCAGTGCGCTTTGGGTAGTTTAAGAATAAAATTATAAACCAAATGGCGGATTAGCGAATTGGTGGATTGATAAATTGCGATTTAAGCGGTTTTGAACGAATTGACGGATTAAAAAATATTCAAACCAATTATCAAGCCTTTGCATAATATATAACACTAATTTGCATAATATTTTTCACATATATAACACAAATTAATTTTATATATTATTTTTCATATATATAACTACTAATTTGTAATAAATTTCACATCTTAAATCTCTCTCACACTCGTTTTTACTTTGATATTTCATTATAGATTAAAAAAATATATGTATTTAACTATAGTAGAGAGGAGTGATTTTGAAAGCAGATTATAAAATTTAAAGTTTAAACCGCGGTTAGTGGATAGAGCAGTGCAGATTGATGTGGATCGGTATGATTTTAGTGAATTGAGCGGTATTTTGCACAGCCTTATTTGCTCCTCCCGTAACCAAAGTTGCTCCTCATGCAACCATCGTTGCTCCTCCCGTAACCACCACTCCTCTTCGCTAGCTTTTTGGGATCTAAAGGCCATCCCCAAACCTACCGTTGAAATTTTCATCAGAAAACTCTTACATTCCCCCTATAGTGAGAATCTAATAGTTGCTTGAAAGTTACATTCATTTTGTTTTTCTAAAATTGTAAGTTTGTTTGGCAACTTTCCTGTAAAGTTAACTTGTAGCTTTTTATACAATAAGCTCCAAATAGATTCACATAACTACTTTCAAGTTCTCTTAGCACACGCTTTCCGTAATGTTAATGTGTGCTTTTTGAGCTTAATATCGTTACTAGTATACTACTACTAGTAATTAGATTTTCTCTGAACACTTAATTATTACAATTAAAAGATAAGAGAGCAAAGTAAAATTCAGGTGAAAATTTGAAAGCGAAAATTGTAATTTACCTTTTTATTGTTATTATTTTATTTATGTGATTAATACCAACTTGTTTGTTTGATAGAGGAAATTTGTTGGAAAGTCAAATGGGAAAACAGAAGCCTGTTAGAAGAAGATCAACTATATGCAAAAAGCCATTTTCATGGAAAATTAGGTCTGAAATTGATGTGTATTCTTCTAATAATATGCAATCACTCAAGTCAAAACCTTAACATTCAATATATTAAGCGCCCAATATCTCCGTTAAAAAGAGAACTAAGATAACATTTTATAATGTTTCCCAATTTTCAGTTTAGAGTATATTAAGAAACATGTTTTTATCAAAAGCAATAAAATATGTCTTGTGAACTGTTGGAAGAGTAGTGATCAGTGGGGTTTTCAGAGAGGGAAAAGGAGAAAGGGAAAAAAAATTAAAAGAAGATTGTTAAGGTGTCATTTGACAACTTTTACACTTTATAAATAGTTTTTTAATTACACAAAACATAAAACATATTTAGCTTTATTTTTAGCAAAAACAAAAACATATTTGATACGCATATATTTTAATAACATTTTGAAAACAAAGCGAAACAAGTGACAGAAAGTGTTGTGAATGGATAGAGGTAGTGGCCGATGGTGGTTGTTGGCCATTAGAGGTAGTGGCCAAAAGTGATTTTTGATAAGAGGTTGTGGCCAAAGATGGTTGTTACCAGTGGAAGGTAGTTACTACTCATAATAAAAACAAAAAATTAACTATATAAGAAGATGAATTTTCCACATTTATTATTTGCAAATGACTTGTTCAAATCTACCATGATAGCCAACTATTGAGACATTGTCTCCAGAGCACATATAATAATACGGTATTTTAGTTATAATAATGAAGCAATCGTTACCCGGTTTCCATATGACCAATTCTCAATTTCTCTCGCTTACAATTTTTTACTTTTTATTTTGAATGTTTTGATGTATCTTCTGCATTTCTTCATTTTCATTTCACAAGTTTTTTTTTAAAATAAAAACATTTTTTTGTTGATTTAATCAACACAGATCATTAGCAATTTTGTTGATAATTTTAAAACTTCTTGTTAATATTTTCTAGAAAGTATGTTATTTTCAAACCAAAAAAAAAAAATTAAAATTAAAATAAACTTGAAAACAGTTCACTGGTTATATCCAAGTTTTCTACTATTTCTAGAGAAGGGGCTCCAAAACCCTTCATCTCTTGTTTTGGCAAAAAATATGTTTTAATATTTTTTTTATATTTAGTTGCATTCTTAAAACTAATATACTAATGATTGTATTAATGATAGTGGTGACAGCAGATTAGAAGTGGAGGTGGAGTGGTGACGGTGGTGGAGGCAATGATAGCAGTGATAGTGTGGTGACACTAATTATACTTTAGTTTGGAAAACGCTATTCACCTTTTAAAAGTAAAAAATATTTTCGCTTAAATAAACTTATTTTCTATTAATTACAGAAACATTTTCAATTGAGTTTCGATTTTCCTAATATCATATGCTAAAAAATAAGAAAATCCAAGGGTGGTTTTCTTTTTAGCAGGCCAATGAAAATTGAGTTGGTCAAGAAGGTGAGCCTACTCATTCATTGAATTGTAATAAAATCTATGGGTTGATTTGGAATATTAGTGGTCACACCAGACATACATATCACAATCCAATAGATAAGATTCGTGGAAAATCATAGGAAGTAGCATCTAAGAATGTTCGCAAATCAAAAACTATGACTGTTTAGCCCAATCATCCAAACAAAACAAAACATGTAGTAGAAATTGCAGAGGTTGCTTTTGACATCAATCCTCAAAAGTCTAGGTCTATTATTAATTTAACCCTTTAATAGGGAGGACAAACACAAAGTCAACCCAAAAGACCAGAAGAAAGATGGCATGACTTTATATACTCACCACCATGAAACTGAAATTGTTGAGTAACTGAAATTTTAATGGACAGTCTATCATCTATAACTTGTTTGCTGGGCAAACTATGTTTGGTATTTTGTCCGTTTTCTGTTTTCATTTCTTTAGAAAAATGAGTAAAACTTATCTGATAAACTATTTTCAAAATCTGTTTTCAAAAATAAAAATTAAAAAAATCAGAAAACAACCCATTTTTTAGGAAATACCAATAATTTGTTTTCAAATTTTTTAAAACTGCTCCCCACAACAATAAAAACCCATACAAAATGATGACCATTTTCAACCTTTTCATTGTTTTTCTTTCTACAAAGACGAAAAACGTAAATGAAGAAAACAAAAACGAAACCAAACAGGCCTTCTCTAAGAAAATAAAATGGACTAACTTCATCTTAAAGCGTGAAAAATGATTTCTGGAATCAGGCATTTCATGCAAAAGTCACATATTCTTGATCTCCGAGAACTAAGCCAATGTCAACCTCAAAGGTTTAAACCATCTTTTAAGCATCATAAACCTATGTTTTGAGACGACCACCAAAACCCACTTCACCGGGGGGTAATCGTACTTGAGAGGGAGATTTATAATCTGGCTTTGGGCCGTGGTAGAAGCTAGACAGGAAAGGGCCGAGCATGATTGGGCCGAGCTAACTTGGGCCTGTTCAGAGTGGGTTTTACTCGGTCGAGACTCAAGCCCCCTGTTTAGGCCGAGCTAACTGGGGCTTCCCTAGAGTTGGTCTTGCTCGGTCGAGGCCCAGGCTTGAGGTCCAAGTCCCCTGTTTAGACCGAGCTTACTTGGCCGAGATGATCGCCTGCCAACCCGAGTTCCATGGTTCGCACGTGTAGCTTGGCGGGGAAGGCCTTCTACTCACCGGTTCGACCTGTCTTGAACTCGGCTCTGCCGGAATGCTACCGAGCTCGGCTGTTATGGAGCTCGGCGAGTGGAGCACTCGGACTCGTTACACAACACGATTGTGGAAGGCCGAGGAGGATGTCGCCAGGCTGCCGAGTTCCCGCTAATGTTGTCTGGCGGTTTGGTTAGATGGTGTTCGCTGGATTTGTGCTGACAGATGAGAGAGCAACTCCACGTGTCAAGAGACTGGGTGCAAAGTTGAGCGCAGAAAGTATATAAGCATGACTGCCCTCCCCCCATGCGCAGGATGGAACATCATTTGGTAAGAAACACTCATTGTGCTATATCTCTCTCGTCCTCTCTCTCCCTGAGGGTGTGCTAACTTGACCGTTGGAGGGGTTTTCCGGCAACACACCACCGAGCAGCTCACCGCCGTTGTGTTCTCAGGTTGATCGGATAGACAAGGAGCTTAGACGAACAGAGTACGGACGGGGACGAACATTTCCTCCCCGTACAGTACTAAAAATAATTAACATGCAAAGAAATGGAATAGACTGCACAACAAACGAGACCTCAGACAATGCTTTATTTCTTTTTCAGCTAGAAAAAAGATTTTCATTAAGAACTAACTACAAACAACTCTTGTTCTGAAGTATAAAACCATTGTATTGTAGCATCTACGTCAAGCAGTTGATAATACATGTTGAAAAAGAAACACAAGTAAATGTAATCATTACAGCCCTCTGCAGCTGGGGCATCCACACACTGATTCGCTTCTCTTATAGTCGGTCCTCAACTTGCCAGACTCCCAAGTGCGTCATAAGGTTCCTGCAAATGCATACACGAGAGAAATAAGATGATTCACATCTCTTTGGTTATATGCAATAAGCTCTATATGACAGCCTCAGTTAGCATCATTGCTTCAAGTTTTTTCGAGTTACACGCAAGGTTTAGCCCTTCCGGTTGAGTGCACAATTCAGTTTCTATGCCTATGGATGACCTTTTATTGTTTGACCAGTTATACAATGAAATTTTAATGAGGTTCCATTTCGAAGATTACCGATCATTCCAACAAAACTTTGGCGCGACTAACATAAATTTCCTTAAAATTCCCCAATTATTAATGATTTTTTCATCAAACTAACGACCCAACAGAAATATAACTATACAAGAAATTACTAAACTTGAAATTTGGACCACCACTAAAAGGATAATATAAAAAAAGATCATCACCACAAATAAAAAAAACTCATCATTGCTTGTGTTCATATGAGAAAATTCAATTGCTCCACGCCCTTACCCTTGCCCACTTAAAATAAAATTAGAAAAGTCCAAGAATGAAAGGAACCCTTAAATCTTTCAACGGAAGGACAAATGTGTTCCTGGCTAAAACTTAAGTTTTTCTAGTCATGAACCACAAACCATATTTAATGATGAAGTAGGACTGCAGGAACATAGAGAGAAGACCAGAGAGGATGATAAGTAATACAGAAATGGAAATCAATAATGATGAGAGCCTCTTGACCAGAAGTTGACCTTACCTTGGTGGGCATTCTCTTTGGCCAAAACAAGTGGACTGATGAGGGGTCCACAAAATCACCAATAAAACAGTGATCCAGCATGAAATCAACCGTGGCATTGAATTTTATTTGACTTTAAGAGATAAAAAAAAAAAAAAAAAAGACCGAGAGAGAGAGAATGGGATCAAAAGGAAGAACATCAATTCCTAAAATGGTATTAAAAGCAGGATGCAAACATGTACCAAACTAAACCGATGGAAGAGCCCCCCCCAAAAAAAAAAAAAAAAATCATTCAACTGGCATGCAGACCTCAATTCTCTAGTAGTAGGAAATTACAAGTTTGTCCACATGGCATCAAAACTATTTAAACAAACATTCAACCTCCCAGCTGGGTTCCATCCATGTTTAAGAGCCAAATTTCTGTGCAACTCACAGAAAAAGGGGATAGGGTTAGGTTATACTCAAATGGTCTATAACGTCAATCCATAAACAAATTGTTGAATTGTGGGAAGGTTGAACAGAGTCACCAGGATTAACAACATGCTGTCAAAACTCAAAAGCACATAAAAGAGACTGTTCAAGGAAAAAGCGGATAAGAACCCTAAAATGTATATATATATATAAACATAAATGGAAACAATGGACAAACAGTCAATTATATGCCAAAATTGCCAAAAACAGAAACTGTAGAAGAGATATTTGAAAGGCCACAATTAAAATTAGAAGCAGAGTAATATAAGAAGTCAGTGTTCTTACAGTTTCCCAATATAAGTCCTCGCTTCCGTTATATTTACTGCTCGATGCTCTAGAATAGGGGCATGGTTCTGATCTGATTCTCAAGAGCTCTAGCTCTGTGCCTCTTCTTGAATATATCTTGTCTGAATTTCTTGGTCTCCCTCTGAATCTCCATGAAGGGCTTCTTCTCTATGCTTTCCTTCTCATTTTCTAACATTTTTTGCCTCTTTGCAACTACCATGGCTGCAGCCTCATCCTCCTGTTGTTGCTGTTCTACCTCTGCCTGCATGTACTTTTTCATAAAACTACTGGTTTTCTTTGTATGGATGTGAATATGTAGGCTTGTATTGTATGCTTTGCTTTAATCACATGCCTATGGATTAACTTTAGAAACTCACTCAGAGCTTGATTTAAAAATAGAACTTACCAACGGCAGCAAATATTGCAGATTATGTGATGATGATGCTACACTAAAATTGTCTTTCAAAATTATTCACAAGATTTGTTTATAAGTTAATAACCACTTGAATATGAAAACTCAAACCAAGCAAAACACCCTATAGAAATGAACCGTTCACTTTATTTTTAGATGAGGTAAAATATTATTAAACAGTTTTCCCTACAATCATCTATAACTAAGTAGCAGACAGGAACTTCAGAATTTCATCTAACAGTTTTGATTTGATTCAAAGACAGGATGGCTACTTATCCAGATTTGCAGTAGACTTTGTTTTCTTTATCTTTAGCATTATTTTGAACAGAAATATTCTCAAATTTCGATGAATGGTGCCTCAAAGTGGATGGATGCCTTAATTTAATATTTTTCATCTCTACCTAGAATCACCCGTGCAATGCAACTACAAATAGTCCGGGAGGCACATGCCGAGTACAACTTAAAGCCTCGTAAAAGTGCATTAGAATTTCTCTTCTGGAGAAAATCAAAGAAAAAAAAATATAAAACAAACATTTTTTTTTTTGATAAATAAGCATAAATTTATTAGAAAATTATTAAGATGATGCAAAGAATACAAAATTCAAACCCCTAAGGAAAAAATGGTAAGCTATAAAATCCTCCACAAAATCTACATAAGCTATAACATCTGGATCAACCAACCCCGTAACCCAATTATATAAGACCATACACACCCGTCTCTCCAGCCAAAAAATCGAATGAGACATCCCTTGGAATACACACCTGTTACACTCCAACCAAATAAGCCACATTAAACAATGAGAAGCAATCATCCACGAAAATTGTCAATTTATTCATAACATAGTGTTCAGAGCATCAAAGTCAAAAGAAAGAGAAGGAAAGAACAAACCTGGAGATCATGAATGAGACTGTCAAGGGATTTGATCTTCCTATGTGGCCAACGAGGAATGCCAAATTCTCTGCACTTTTTCTTGAGTACCGTGAGTCCAACTTTCAAATTTTTTGAAGCTTCCACTATGGGAAGATCAAAGTATTTCGCAAGATCTGCTAAAGCAAGCCTTGATATATCTTTGGTTGCTGCCCTCTTTTTTTTCTTCTCCACAATACCTGCAATCTTGCACCCAATCTATGAGATTACAAGATTAATCATGGTACTAAAACTATAATGCAAAAATATTATTAAATAAAATAACAAAAATAATTCCTACTCTTATTCAAGAAGGATTCGAGCATCAGGAGTTAAAGCAATGTAGAAAGCAACATCATTGAGTAGCTGATTCTTTTGTCCTTTGGTTTAAGTAAGCTGACAATCTAGGTAGCTTCACTCTATAGCAAGACTTGCTTCACATTCATTACCGAAAATAATGTAAACACCTTCCTGTAAACCATCAAGACAATATAAGGTAACACATGGACAGATTTAACAGCTTTCTAACTGTGATGGGTAGGGTGCATGTCCTTGGTCTGCACGCAGCAAGTGCTACCAAGTGAGCACGTTACACAAAAGTAATGTGCATTATGTAAGTGTAAGGGCACCCTTAGCTAAACAACTAGCTTTTGGGGTTGAGTTCTACCCAAGAGTGTGTAAGATGGTATTAGAGCTCAGCTTAGGACATCTTGGATTTAAGTCTCTCTATTTGCATTGCTTCCCCGTTTGCATTCTTTCATCTATCATTTGCATTCTTTCTTCTTTGTATGTATGGATGTTCACATGCCCAGATGCAAGACGATTGGAGAGTTTGATATACTTTGTTTGTCCCATTTCCTAACAATTTAAGCTTTTGCAATAATTAGTGATCTAACACTAATTTTCGCATTAAATTCTATATAGAACCCATCTTATTGAAATTGAAATTGTAATATATAACTCAACCAAACGAAGCTTTGCTCCAACTAATTTAAGGAGCCAATATTGATCATTAGGTTTTTACTCATTCACATACCGCAAGGTTTTTAATTCTGGCATGCAATTAGAGCTAGACGAATTAAGGAAGTTTCATGCTAACTTATTCTTGTCCATAGAGTGAGGCAAGTAGCCATCCCATGATTCAACTAATGGAGATCAAATATGAAACTAGAGTTCGGTGACTTTAAAGGAAGTTTCAGAAACATTTCATACCGTCAAAAAATGAAAGCAATGTGCCATCTCTTTTATCTACTAACCTAAGCATCTTCACTAACTTGTTCACCTTTTCTAAGAGAGTATACCTATATGATCTTAATAACGTATGGGTTCACTCTGACATCCATTAAGCTCTAATCTTTGGGAGTCGAGCCCAACATTTTGTGCAACAAAGCCCTCCACATATGCAACTGTTAAAAATTCAGATATTAATATTGTTCTATTATTAAGTTGTCAAAATGTTGTAACATTTTAAAATGTGAGTTCTCTTAATGACCACCCACTAGCCATTCATTAAGGACCAAATCATGCCAAAAAAATTTAGAATTCTAATACCCATCTCACATATTCCCATATACTTTAATATATTTCTATATATTTTTCACATATTTCAATACACTTTATACATATACCAAGTGGTTAGCATTTCCCTTAACGTATTTATGTAAGTTTTAAACACTACCTACCACAACCATTCTTTTTAATGGCTTGATGTCGTATATTTTTTTGATCAACAAAAGATTTTATTGATAAAACAAAAAAAGGAGCGAGGATAAGGCATCCTCATACAAAAGGAAAATGAAAATACGAAATACATAACCTTAACAAGATTATCTCAAGCAAAAGCCTACATGTCACACACCGACAACCAATGTATAGCTAACAACAAAAGTGGAACCCACTTAAAGATAGAATTCCCCGAAGTCCAAAAGGAAGTTAAGTGACAAACTTTTTAATGGCTTGATGCATGGTCCACACTTGGATTTATGAATGAAAAATATATTGGGGTTTTCTATTTGATTGGATCAAAGGGCTCAATCAATTGGGCATTCCCTATTGGCCCAGATCATTTAGGGCAAGATGACCATTTATAACTAAACATTGAAGAAACAGAGAGTTAATAAAATTAATCTATATTAATCAGAATAAAACGACAATGTACATAGATTGCTCTTTTGGTGACAGTCATCTGACAATTTAATAATCGTAAAAGGCAAAACATCTATTAACTAATACAGTTATCGAATATTGGAATCTCCCTCCACCTTCCATTCCACACACACACACACACACAGATATAAAAAGCAAGAAACCTCCTGCAGAAAAAGAAAATTTGCTTGGTTTGGGAACATGCAATTTTAGTAACTTTCTGACTTTTTACGAAAAGATGTGCAGAAAAGAAGAGAGTAATATGACAGCTTATAGTGACTTTTTGACTTTTTGGCTAAAACTTCAAGTTGCCAAATCTCATGCATAAAGAGAGTGATGTATTATGTCTAATCTCATGCATAAAGAACCCTTCAGGTCCTTCTAAGTATGGTGGACTTCAATGTCGTTGAGACAAGTAACTAATAACATGGAGCTGATTGGTTAAGAATGCCACTTTTGTCAATAATTTTTTCTATACAAATACATGCATCAGTGAGTATAGGTGATTCAGCAATTGCTTCGCACATATAAATTATAAATTGAGAGAGAGAGAGGGAGATAGTAAATACAATTCTTAGAAATAAGTAAATAGCAGTAGATAAGAAACATTTCTTAGCTTTTTTTTACTAGTAAGTATTTTAAGAGCATATACCAGAATGGATTTGAAATGTGTTATATTTCAGCATTGGTTAATTTATATGAAAATTGTGATAGATGTCCAAAAACAAGCATAGGATTGTTCAGTCAAAGAAACTTGGTTAATACAAAAGACATGTGGTGAAAATGTTATCGGTATAAAAATTACAACCAAAAAAAAAAAAGTTGTTGGTTACTTAAATTTAGAGGAACAAAAAAATTATGTAAAAATCGACACAAGAGGCATAGGGCTCATAAGCTAAGGTGTCAAAAGGCACACCCTTTATTATGCTTTGGCTTGAAAACCTATTTGTCATGAGACCTTCACTTGAAGCTTAAGCCCTTAGGCATTTGCATATCGTATTCCTTGAGGCAAGACTCTTTGGGGACAGAAACTATTGCCTATTATAATGTGCATGTATATTTATGCAAATTTCTATTCTAATAATTAACAAATGTGGTAGGATTTAGGAAACAAAGAGAAACCACAACAGATATCTTCCTGCAAAACAACTAAGAACATCATTAGTCCCTTTCCCGGATTTATCACCTTGTTTGTATAAAGAATTGGCTTCCAAATTAATAGCTTTTTAGACACAAGAACAACATGGTGAAGAGAAGTCACCTTCTACATGGTATGCACTTATGTGTACTGTTAGGTTATGATTAGTTTCTATCCAGTATTGAACCAAATTTGTTCCTCAACACATTGTTAACCCTAGGATATTGAATTATAGGGGAAATTGTATCAAAAATAAATAAATATCATTGCCCATCTCATGTTCTAGCCTTCTAATGCAATCCAAAATTTGGGGCATTGCATATTTTTCACTCTGATGCTATAAAGAAATGCATTTCAGGTTTAAATATTGAAGGATTTGCATAATAGAGAAAAGTATGTACTTGCAATAATTAGAAAATAGGAAGCTATGTAGTTTAACCTGTTGCTTCATCACTTTCTTCATTATCTAATTCTGGATTCGGAACAGAGTTAAGATCCAGAGCGAAGATGCGCTGACTCTTTAACTGAAATGCTCCGCCCCTGTTCCCAATGCTAGTTTCCTTGGGTGGAATTTGCAATTGCTCTCCATCTTTCATCCTGTGGTTGAACTGGAAAATGATTTGAAGGTCATTGGCCAATGTTGGAATTGACGCCAGCTTAGGATTCCTGAAAGGTGAAATGTATACCATAAAGGAGTCAATTGGGAATGTGGCAAGCAGGAAACAAATGTCAATGTTAACAGTAATATAAAGGTCCAATAATTAGCAAATATAAATCAATTGATATATTTAAAGAAAATTTAATTTTAAAAGGTCAAACATGAGTAATTAGTACTCGAAGTATTGGAACTATCAGAGAGACCCAAACATTTCAGTGAAAATTTAAGACCATGAAGGCATCTTGTTTTGACAAACAAGCAGGACAGGACTCATGCCCTAGCCACATGCCTCAACCTTGTTTATGCCTAAGCCTGACCCAACCAATCATTTTTTATTGGAATCCCAGCTTCAGTTTAGTGCAGACTACTTATATTTTAGGGCCTAGAACATCATTCAAGAGCTATGCGGTAGGAAATTGAAGTGCGTGATATGGAAAATTACTTTTATTGTTACAATTTTTTATTTTAAATGTTAGTTCTGCCAAAACCTGCCAAGCTGTAATTGAGAAATTATAAAGAAGAAAGTCAAAAACAGAACAGGGAAACTTTTTAAGACAGTGTCGATGACATGCACATATACACATTTACCATGACAAATGCAGAGAGAACTCAATAGCATCACAGGTAAAAGGACTCCTTTTGTCCATGGCGAATTAAGATACCTTGTAAGAGAAGAAGGCAAAGTCTAAACTACACTAGCACAGTGACCAACACAGGCTTGTCTTTCTATATTAGAAGCTTAAAACAAAGTATTTAGAAGACAAAATTACCCAAAACAATGAAGCAGGAGTATCATTAAGAAGTTATAATTAAGATATCTTCGCATTCTATGATGAAGACTAAGAACATGAGTGAAGCAATCATAATTATCTCCTAGAGCAAGATACGTTGCAAAAAGTTTGGTAGGGCAAGATTCATCAAGAATAATGGAGTTGTGTTTATTGAATAACAGCCCTTGAACCAGGGGCAAAGCCAGGGTTTTATAAAAAGTTTCATACAGAAGTTTAATAAGTAAAAAAAAAATAAACGTTAGTATATATATAAAATTATGAATACGATAGGGGAAAAAACCATCAAAAAGTTATTTTATGAATTCATGTCAAGTATACATTCAGGGCATGTTTGTTTAAACGGACTAGATAAGCAGAAATTGAAATCCCAGGACTAAGAAATTGAAATCCACCGGACTGTTAGTCCTAGGATACGTTGTTCCCGGACTATTTGGTTGTACTGGATTTATATCCCATGTTTGTTTAGTCATGAGATTAGATGTCAGGAAAGGACTATTTGGTTGAATAGGATATGAATCATATGTTTGTTTGGGATATTATGGAGAAGGATAAATGTTCAAATGATTATTTTACCCTTTTCAATTATATAGTAAGTAATAGCAATATTAAACATATCTTTAATATTTTAATTATTTTTAGCTAGATTAAATAAAATTTTATTTTATTATATTTTTTACACAATTAAATAAATTTATTTTTTAAAAATTAATAAATTAAATAAATAAAATATCAATAAAAACTTATGTTATTTTTTTAATTAAAATTTTAAATAAATTTATTTTAAAAAATAATAATAATTAAATAATGAAATTAAATAAAACATCTATTAAAATTTAAATAATGAAATTAAATAAAATATAAACAAAATTTTGAAATCACAATCATTTCTTTTCTTTATTTCTTCCTTATCCAAACAAAAAGGAGAAAAATCACAATCATTTCTTTTCTTTTCTCTTATAACTTAAGTAATTATTTCTTTTCTTTTCTCTCTTAGGTTACCAAACATAGTGTAAGACATAATAGTCCAATAGATTTGGAACTAATAGTCCGGTGCAAAAATTTTGAACCAAACAACAGACTATTAGTCCAATCCCATGGCTCAGTCCCTCAAAACAAACACCACTTCATAGTAATATGTCTCTTGATTAAAGTTATCCTTACAAACTCTATACATCAAAGCATGAGTTATATTAAGCCAGTATAAAGTGTTAGCATTATACCATATAAATGTTTTTCCAAAATAACGTCTTTGCACTATACCATATAATTTTTTTTCCCCAAAATCATGTTGGAATTAGGAAATAGCTAGGAAGCACGGATACAGATACGGGATACGGATACGATACGATACGGATACGGTGATACGACAAAATTTGAAAAACTAGGATACGGATACGGCGGGGATACGTTCGTAAAAAATATTATTTTAACAATTTTTAGTAATGCAGTATGCATAAAAATAAAACCTAAAGCAAAAGACAACTTGATAAAGAAGAAAGATTCCTATAAAACTAAGAGTCTTCAAGGTCAATAGCTTCAACTTGTTCCCCTTCATCAGTGAATATCACAAGACCTTAGCTAAAGCCAAAAAACTATTCTTAAATAAAAATTTTGCAAATATACTTTTTTAAGTCATCAATGATAGCCTAGGAAGCACGGATACGGATACGAATACGGATATGGTGATATGGGGATGTGGATATGGCGATACGTCAAAACTTAAAAAAGTATGATACGGGTATAGCGGGGATACATTCGTAAAAAAAAAAAATTATAATTTTAATAATGTAATATGCATGAAAATAAAACTTAAAGTAAATTACTAAATAAAGAGAGGGATTCCTATTAATCTAAAAGTGCTCAAACATTCATAAAACATCCAAAACTAAAAGCAAAAGCAAAAGCAAAAGCAAATACAAATTAAACATCATCCTTACATGCCAACATCAAAAAAAGAATGAGAGCGGAGAGAAGAAACGTGAGAGAGTGAGAAAACGAGAGAGAAGTGAGAGAGACAACAAGGATACATCAATTTGACAAATTCTATTACATTAACTCTCACTATATTCCTCTTATCAAAGAACTAAACAAAATATTATAAGTAATATGTAACTTCGAATATCCGATACTTCAAAATTAATAAAAAATTAATTAAGAAGTATCCGATACTTTTAAAAAGTATCCGATACGTATCCGCGAGTATCCGAGGAGTATCGGTATCCGATAAGTATCCGATACGGATACGTCACCCTTTTTGAAGTATCCGTGCTTCATAGGGAAATAGTGATATTATAATTATGGTAGTGTTAAATTAGGAAATAGTGAATAGTGTAATTATGGTAGTGTGTATAAAATCGGTGATTGCGTCAATCACAAATTTAATGCCTTTTTTATCTTTGTTTCCTATTTTATAATATTGTTTCATTATAAATACAAGGCTATACCTCATGCATAGGTAAATCAAAACAATTCTTTTCATCCTTTTTGGTATTAGAGCCAAAACCTCATGCATAGGTAAATCAAAACAATTCTTTTCATCCTTTTTGGTATTAGAGCCAAAGATCAGCCACCCTAGCCCTCCTCTCCCTCTGTCGGCACCACGCAGTCCCACCTATCACCACCGTTCGCCTTCTTTTTCCTCTCTCAGCCACTGACAGCACTACCCACACCTTCTAGACCACCCAACAGCACTTCTTCTTCCCTGTTTTCCCCTCGGCAGGTCTCCTACACTCCTACAGAGGTGCTGTTTGCTGCTGACCAGACTTTGTTCTGGTCCTGTGTGCTTCAGCTACTCCTCTAAGGTGGTCCGGGGTCCTTTTTCCCCTTCTCAGGGTGTTGTGCAGGTGTTTTAGGCACCTTTTTTTCTGTCCTCTTGATTCATTGGGCTACTGAATTTGTTCGGTAGTATTTATTTGGATAAGCCATTGAGTTTTTTCCAGCTACTTGCATTATTTCAGCCATTGTTGCTGTGATTTTGTGTGTTTTTCAACCCCTATTCTTCCACAATGACTGAGCCATCTCTTATTGTCTCTTTTGATGTACCCACCAAACCTATTCCCGTTGGTTTTGATTTTTCTCTTTCTCATCACACTCCTGTTCATCGTATTACGAGTGTGGTGTTGAATGGGAAAAATTTTGCTGCTTGGAGCCATTCCCTTAAACTCTATCTTGGGGGAAAGGGGAAGGCCCATTGGCTTTTATCTACTATTACCCCACCAGCTGCAACAGACCCTATACGTGCTCAGTGGGATATCGATAACTGAACTATATTGGGATGGATGTTCAATTCCATGGAAGATCAGATTTATTATATGTTCCTTTATTGCGATACAGTTCCAAGTTTGTGGCAAGCATTGTCACAAATGTACACTCATGCTCACAATGATGCCCGTATCTTCGAGCTTTACCAGGATATAGCCCGGGCCTCTCAGTTCTCTCTTGGCCTTTCTGTCGCTGAATTCTTTGGATATCTTCAGGCTCGTTGGGAGGAACTTGCTCAATATGAGCCTTTGACTGACCTTCCACCAACAGCAGCCTCCCTTATATCCAAGAGGCTTGCTCGCCAGCACACTTATCAATTTCTCATGGGTTTAAACTCTGAATTTGAATCTCTTCGAATTCAGATTCTAAACAAACCACCCACACCATCTCTTTATGAGGCTTCTGCCACTATTGACAGTGATAAGCATTGTCGGCGATTGGTTCAGCCTAGTGTTCTTTCAGTCCCTCCAGTTTTTGCTGATCAGATGGCTCTTGCTGCAAGTTCTAGTTCTCAAAGTTCCACCGGTTCTGTTACTTGTCATCATTGTGATGCGCCTAGACATGTCAAAGCCCATTGCTTCAAACTTCATCCTGAGTTAAGGCAACGCCTTTCCTGTCTTTGTGGTCCTGCTCCATGTGGTTCTGGCTCTGCTCGCACTGCTGCTTTGGTGGAAGTTACTCCTGCTTCTGAGCCTCCTAATGTCCTGAATCTACAGCAGTTACAGACTCAAATTGGTCAGCTTCAAGCTCAACTTGGGTCTCTCACCACTGGTTCTCTTGGTCCATCATCCTCTACTGCCACCCTTGCTATAGGTACTTCTACTGCTTTCCATGTTAGGTCTGCTAGTCCTTCATGGATTCTAGATTGTGGATTCTGGGGCTACTGATCATATGACTGGTGAGTTTTCTTTTCTTTCCTTTCATGAACCCACCATTGTTGCCCCATTTGTGTGTCT